ATATTTCATTAAAATTTATTTCTAGAAATTATATTTCAGGAAAAAAGATTCATAAAAAATCCGAGCAAATATTCATTAAATTTCTATCTTAGAAATATATATTCAGAATAGATTATATTTTATTCCTTGTTACATAAGATCCTATAAAATCCCGAGTTTATATCATACTATCGTCCTTTTTAATTTCTATTAAATTTATCTTAGATCATTCTAATCATTCCAAGGACCTGAGGAAATGATAATCTCGATCATATCTTATGATCAAATAAATATAATAACTTATTAATTATATCATCTCATCTAAAACCGATATAAATATATTAAAAATATAAATATATTAAAAATATAAATATATTAAAAATATAAATATATTACTTCTCTTTCTTATTAAATATAGAGAATTAATAAATATAATATTTTTAGCTTTATAAGTAAAATTTAAGATATTCGGGCTACTATTAGTACTTTATCTATTATACTAGATAGAAGTCTAATTATTATTATTAAACTTCTTAGACTAATTAATTTTATTTCTCCTAAGTAAACCTATTATATAAGATCCGATAAATTATATATAAATATTTACTAAAGTTAAGATAATTAAGAAAAAATAGGCCTAATATCTAATATACTTTTTCCTATATTTTATAATTAGTTTAGTATTATTTTAGGTCTTATTTCCTTATAAATATATATATATTTGAAATTTATAATTAATACTTTAAAGTAATATTCTTTAATTAGTTCTTATATAATTTAAAAATTAGGCTACTAAATTTAATACTTTTATAATATTCAAATTTACCTAAATCTATAAAATCTTATAATTATTAGAACTTTTATAATTCTTTATCTTTTGAGTTTAATATCTAAACTATATATTATACTTTGCCTTTAATATAAAGGAAGCTCCTAAAAGTCTAAAGTTATAAAGAGATTTTTATATTAAGAATATATTAAGGATATATTATATTATAATAATAAAATTACAAGTATTTATATATAGATATATAATATATTAGACTAGCTATACTAAAAACTATATTATATTTATATATAAAGTTACTAATTACTTTATATTAATACTAGACCCATATAATTATATAATTTTATATAATTAACTAGCTATAGAAAAGCCCTAAAGCCCGAAACTTATAAAGAATCTCAAGAGCTTTAGGGCTTCCGAACTATTACTAGTACTTAATACTTTTTAAGAAAAGAATATAATACGTTTTATAATAGGTAATCTATTATAAACTATTTAATCTTTAAGTTAAATAAGAAATCTGAGGACCGGACTCGTAATTCAAGTTTTATTAAAATTATTAAAGTCTTTATTAGCTAGTATTATAGATTTAATATAAATATTATAGGAATTCTATAGGTTCTATTCTAATTTATCTAGAAAGTATATATAATATATTCCTATATTTATTTTATTAATATTTATATATGATTTCTGAAAGCCGAACTATTATTTAAGGAAAAAATAAGAAGGCTAGACTAATATTTTTAAAAACCAAGGCCTTAATAAATTTGTCTAGAAAAGCTTACTAATTCTTCTAAAGATAACCCAGGCTCTAATAGGCCAGAAAATTTTGAGTTTGTTATATATTATAACTTATATAATTAGAAACAGGAATTATTTTAATAGACTAGAAAGAGTTTCTTATATAGTTTATTTATATAACTAGAGATAAGAACTTGAGTTTATTATATAAAATTATAAAGTAGAACTTCCCTAACTATAATAATAAGACGTTTTATTATAATATAAAGTAATTAGATATAGAAGCCCTATTAAATATAATATATCTCGAACTATAAATTTATAAGATAAATATAAGAAATCTTAATACTTAACTAGTATTATAGTCTAGCCTAAAGGCATTTGCTATTCTTTATATCTAATTTAATAGAAATAAGAAATATTTATACTTTAATTCGAGGAATAATTAGGACTTTTATATAGACTTAGGGTAGCGGTTTGTTTTGTAAAAAGAAAATAAACTAGAAATACTTATATTATATAAATTTTTAAGAGAGGTTATAATAAATATTATAATTTCTAGAATATTCTCGAAAAAGCTTTCCTAAACTAAAATAGGCTAGTTTATAATCCCGAAAGATCTATAGAAATCTTATATATCCGAGAATATAAGTATTTAAAATAAATACTCTTTGAGTTCTAACTTATAATAAAAGGAAAATAAAGTATATAAAATAAAATATATAAAATAAAAATAAAATAAAATAAAAATAAAATAAAATATCCGGATATTTAATAAATAAAAAGCCTAATTATAGGTTATAAAAACTAGTACTAACTAGATATATATATAGTAATATTAAAGAAAAGGTAAGATAAAGAAAACTAAAAAATAAGTTAGTATATATTTTATAAAAATAAATAGAGAAATATCTAAATAGCCTAAAGGCAAGAAATATATATTAAAAGAGGCGAGATTAGAAAGAAAAGAGCTATTTCCTATAAGAATAAGTTAGTATATATTCCAAGATAAAGAATAGAAGTACTTAGTAATAGCCTAAAGGCTTTTATAAGTATTAAAAAAAGAAAGAAAATATTAAAATTCGGAGAAATCTAAATAGAAGTTAGCCTTTTTTTTAGAAGTTTAAGAAAGAGTATTTCTAAAAGGCCTAAAAATATAAGAAATATTAGAAAAGAAAAAGAGATATTAAAGTTTAGAGAAATCTAAATAGGAATTAGCCTCTTTTTTAAAAGTTCGAGAGAGAATATTCCTAAAAGGCCCGAAAATATAAGAAGTATTAGAAAAGAAGAGAAGAAAATATTAGAGAAAGAGAAAAGAGATCTAAAATTTAGCTTTCTAAGAAGTAAGTAGATTAAAGACTTATAATATAGGAGTTCTAAATAAAAGTAACCCGGAAGTAGTAGTTAAGTACTGGCTTTTAGTATTATTAGTAGAAGTATTAAAGAAAAAGGGGTTCGGAAAAGAGATTTAAAGAAGGGGTTTAGAGGAATTCGAAGAAGAAAAGAAAGGTTATAAGGTAGTTAAATACTAGCTCTTGGTATTAATAAAAGAAATATTAAAGGAAGAGGAGTTTAGAAGAGAAGTAAAGAGAAAGGGTAAAAAGAAGTAAGGAAAAGAAAAGAAAGGTTATAAGGTAGTTAGATACTAGTTCTTAGTATTAATAGAGGTATTAATAAAAGTATTAATAAAGGTATTAATAAAAGTATTAATAAAGAAAATATTAGTAAAAAGTAAAAGCTCTTAGTATTAATAGTAAAATCGAAAAAATATAAAAGAAAAATAGAAGATTTAAAATAAAGATAAAATAGAGTTATAGTTTTATAAAAAAATAAAGTTATTAATATAGGATAGTTATATTATTATATAATTCTATATTTACTTTTACTATTTATTAAAGATATATATTTTTTAAAAAAAAATATTACTTAGAATTCTTAAGCCTCTCTAATTTAATAAGCTATATATAGAGATTTGAGAAGATTTAAATTACCTCGAATTATTTATAATTAGTAAAATAAATTAGCTAATTATATAGATCGAATATAGTTTAATTATTATTAGTATATTTTGGCTTTTATAAGTTAGTAAAAAAAAAATATTTATATTTATATTTTTATAACTATAATATCTAAAATTATAATTTTTTTAATATTTAAATATACTTAATCTAGGGCTATTAAATACTAATATTTCTATTTTTACATATTATTTATTATAGATTTATTCGGGTTTAAATAATTATATTAAATATATATTTTTATATTCTAAAAATAAATAATAAAAATATAGTTATACTAGCTTTAATCTTAGCCTTAACCTTAATCTTAATTTCCTTCCAAAAATAACTTTAATTCTAATATATAATACTATTATTAAAGCTTTTCTTTATTAAAGATATATTAAATATAACTTTAGGTAATAGCTCTAATAAAGGCAAAAGTAATAGAAAAGGTAATAAAGCTATAAATAAGTAGAAAAATAATATTTATAATATATTCTCTAATAATTCAGACTTAGTCTATAATATTCTTTTCTATTAATATATTTAACTAATAAATCCCTCTATTTCTTGACCTCTTTCTTATATATAACCTCCTTTTCTTCTTTTATAATAATACTTTAATTTCCTTATACTATCTAATAATACTATTAAAATAATAAAGTAAATTAATAATAAGGCTAAAGTTAGAGAAATAAAGCTATATTAGGGCAAGGAGCTAAAGGAATTAGAGAAAGGCAAGGCAAATCTGGAGATAAACTTAGTATATATTTATAGAACCGAATTTTCTTAAGCTTATACTACTTATAGTAATAAAAAGAGACCGAGAGGCCCTTTCAAATACTATATAGTTATAGAAGGCGAATTTAATAGCACTTATATAAATTATAGATATAATAATAATAGTAAAATCTGTACTTTTTATTAACTTAATACTAATTCTACCAAGTCTGGAAAGCCTCGCTCCGTATCTGTAAAATCCTTTATACTAAAGCCTCGACCGCCTATAAGATATAGAAAGCAAGTATAAAAACAGATATAAGGTCAGAAGATAATGGGAAAGGAGATTATAGTAGAGGAGGGTAAGGATACTAGAGAAGAAGAGGACGAAGAAGATATAGATAATTTAAGTAATATAGGTAGTACGGAGGATATAGAGAGTGAGAGAGATGGAGATATGCCTCGTAATCCATGGGATTTGTCTTATGGACTATGCAAGCTAAGGGGGGGTTAGGAGTAGTCGAGAATAAGGCGTATATGCTATACTTTTTTTTTTTAGTGAGGTGTGGTGTGGGCGCGAAAATCAGAAAATCAGAAAATCAGAAAATCACTTTTCGCTTCTCGGATTTGTCCGCTAGCCCGCTAATGGCCTCAGTAGCCAGCGTCCTCGATGGCTAATTTGTTCAAAAACGCAGTCTTAGCCATTCACCGCCCTTAGACAGTGTCTCCTTTCTTATCCGGCGATTCTACCGTATCCTTATCCAGTATCCCTAAACTCTACCAGAACAGTACCAGTAGAAGTACAAGGCTTATCTAAGCACCACGATATATATAAAATCGAAGCGCTAGGAGTGCAGGGGAGGAGGAGAGGGGTCGTCTGCGTATGCAGGAGACGGCAGAAGGTCGGCAGAGGGGGCAGTCGAGGCTGTATAGAGTGTACAGGGACGTCAAGTTGGACGGAAGGAGGCTTATCGATAGGAGAGCAGTCGAGGCAGGAGTTCGATTTATTGGCAAGAGGTTCGATCGCAGGAGAGCAAGGCAATAGAAGCTCTTTGGGAGGCGATAAAGGCTCTGCAGGAGCCAGAGAAGGGGTCAATAGTATTACCGATTGACGGCTATTGCCGAGGTAATCGTCCAGAGCTTCGCGGACAGTATTGCAGAGAGTGTCTGCAAGCTCTTGAATAAGGCGTTCGTCCAAGACGAATCGAGAACGGGAAGAAGGGGCTATTGCAACGTTTGCGTAAGCCATATTCTGATTTGACGGTCGTTTATATAGTACAGAAGCGTCGGGAGGGCAGTATTAGTTACTATAACGGATAAGAACTCTAATTCAGATAATAGTAATTATTATACGGATAGTAATAATTGAGAATTAATTTATTTATTAAAAGAATACTTAATTAAGAGCTCAGATTAAAAGGTATTACTATTACTTATTATATTAAATATGGTTATATTATAATATATTTAGATTATTAGAAAGAGAGAAATATAATATAAATAGTATGGTACGGCAGGCCGTACTCGTCAAAAATCATATCGTTTTGGCGGTTTTGAGGTTTAGGTCACGTGGTAAAGGCCGTGGCCTTTTGCACGTGACTTGCGGAAATCATATAAGAAAGCTGGTTTTTCTATAGACTTAGAGAATAATTCTTTATAAGTATTTAATTAATTGAGCTTTTATATACTATATACTATTTATGCTTTTGATTTATTATTTTACTATTAAGTCACGTTTTGCGCTCTGGTATACTTTATATAGGTTTTTGTCTTATTATAGTTTCTCTCTTATATATTTTATAGTAAGTAATACAGGAATAATAGAAACTTCGTAATTAAGGTAATACTCTTATAAAGTTCTAAGAAATATCTATAAGGCAGATTATTAGCTTAGTAAGTTAGGAGAGAAAGGGCTATTATAATACTTTAAGTCTAAGGCCGAAATATTAAGGATATATAAGTATTAATTTCAGTATCTTATATTAATTTCTAATATATCTAATAACTTAGATACGAATTAGCCATAAGATATAATTACTAGTATAGTATATAGGAATAGTAGAAATAGAGGCTAATTATAGAAGAAAAAGAAGCAAAAGAAATAAAATAAGAAAAATTATATTAAAATAGTATAAGTTAGACCTTAGTTAGAATTAGACTTTAGTACTCGGAAATAAAATAATATTATTAATTTATATATTATTTTTAGTTATAATAAGACTAAAATAGAGGCAGTATTAGTTTTAGTAAAAAAGCTTACTTCTAAGTCTGGAAAAGATATCTAAAAGAGGAAATATCTTTAATTTTAAGTAAAATAATAAATAGAAATCAGAATTAAGAATTAAAAAGAAATCGGAAATAAGAAATTATATAAATAAACTAGAGAAGTTTCTAGAGAAAGAAATAGATACTAAGTAAAGAAATAAAAGAAAATTCAGAAAAGTCAGAAAAATTAGTAAAATTAGTAAAATTAGTAAAATTATATTTATTATTTTTATTATTATCTTTAATAATATTAATAAATATATCTAGTTTAGTGAAATTAAAGAGAAATACTATAGGTATTAAGCTAATAAAATAAAGAAAAGAGTATAAGTAATAGAAATAAGACTAGAAAAGCTATTACTTTATTACTACTAATACTATAACTCGAACTTTAATTATATTTATTATTATTAACTAGTTTCTTCCTAATTCCGGTTCCTAAACCAAAAGATATACTTAAATAGGAAATTAGTTCTTTAGGAACCTTATTAGTAAAAGTCTTAGATATAGAAACTCTAAAATTAATTATAAAAGAAATTATTAAGATTAATATAACTAAGAATAAATATATACTAGTACCGGATTTAAACCTGCTATTTATAGGAGCTCCTAAAGTACTATAGTTTTAGGGAAATAATATTTCTATATTTTTAAAATAATATATAAATATATATAAGAATTATTATATTTCTAATAATATTAAAAAAGAAAGAATTATCTATTATATCTTTTCTATTTATAAGAATTAGATTAAGGCTATACCAGAATACTATACTAATAATCCAGAAAATTACTAGAAAACTAAGTTCTTTAAGGCCTTATTAAAGAAATTCCGAAAATATAACTAGGAAATACTTAAAATTAGCTATGACTTTCTTAATTGGATTATTATATAAGCCCAGAATAAAGAAATCTTTTCTAAGTCTATATTAATATATTTAATAGAATATTAAAGAAATTACTAAAGAAAAAAGAAATAAATGAAATTACTTAGTACCGAGAATTTATAAGAGAATTATCTATTCTAGTAAGAGATTATATTCTTAAGAATATAAACTTTAAGCTTATAAATGTTTTTATTTATAAATATAATAAGATATATAAGAAAATAATAATATTCTATTAGTATAAAGAAAAAAAATACCGTTTTAATATTACTAATAACCCAGATATATTCAGACTTAAATAAGAATACTTAGATATATAGTTTATAATATAGTTCCTAAATTAGAAAATAATTATTTCTTACTAGTTCCTTTTATTATGCTTCCTAAAGCTATTATAGATATAAGTAAGAAAAGAACCTAGCCTATAGCTAATTATATGAAACCTACTAAAAGTAATAAACCTAAAAGAAATAATATTAACTAACTAGTAAGAAGTCTAGAAAAACTATCTATTATTACTATAACTTAAGAGAACCTATAAAAATAACTTAATATAATTACTATTATAATTCGGGAAGATATCTATAGCTTATTTATATAACCTAGTTAATTATAGTAAGTATAGCTAGTATAATAGTATTAATAGTCTAGTAAGTATAATTCGAGTTTTTAGGAAAGATATACTAGAAGTTATAATAAAGAATATAAAGAATACTATAATAGCTATAATAGTTAAGCTAGATTAAATAAAAAATCTAAATAATTATATTCTAGAGAAAGTTAGTCTTAAATATAATTAGAAAATATTACTCAAGTTAATATAGCCTATAATATAGACCTAGAACTAAGAAAACGAATTTATTATAGGTACTATAATAGAAATAAGAATAATAATATTAATCTAGAATATATCTATATTTCTTAGTTCTATTACCTACTAATAGAAAAGCTTATAAATTATAAATATATTTACTAATTTAATAAAAGATAATATAAAGGGCTATTTAAGTCTAGATAAGAAAGTATTTCCTTTTTTCTTACTAGTAAGTACTAGTAATTTAACTAAATTATTTCCTAAGTCCTAAAAGAAGAATTTAATTATAACTTAAATATTTAACCCAAAAATATCTAGAGATTAATAGGAGATATCTAGTTTATAAAGCAAGAAAGAGAAAAGAAAGCTAGCTAACCGGAATCTATATATAAAAGCAAATAAGTTATATCTAGGGAATCTAAATAGCCACTTTATCTTAAAGGAAATTATATTAGAATTACTAATATTTTAGGTTCTGGAATTAATAAATAGTATTAAGATTTAGCTATAAATAGTATTTCTATTAATATTATAATAGGTTTCTTATTAAGGAAAAAGAAAAAAGAAAGAAAAATAGCTAAAGAGGTTTTCTAAAAACAAGCTAGAATAGAAGAAAAGCTACCTTATATAAGAAGCTAGAAGAATACTATTCTAAGAAATAATAGATAAGAAAATAGCCTAGCTAAGAATATAGATATTAATACTTCTGGAAATAAATAAGACAAATTAGAAACCTAGTATACTCTTAACTATAATAAGTATAAGACTTCTAAAATTAATAATATTTTAATAAGGCTACTAAAGAAAGTAATTATTTTATTTCTAAGAACTTAGAAAGAAACGAGAATACTTATTAATATCTTAAAAATACTAGATCTAGCTACTATATTTTAGAACTAATAAGTTAAGGATAATACTTCTTATCTTACTATCTTATAAATAAGAAATACTATTATATTAAATATAATTAGATATACTAGGAAATCTATAAAACTAGCGGCTGTGGCTTATATAATAAATAGAATATTTAAGAAATTAGAAATACTAGCTCAGGTATCTAATACTAATAGAATTATTTAATTTAAAGGCAATACTATTAATATTCGGATATTACTAGCTTATAAATATATTATATAATCTTTATGCCTCTAATTTATATTTCGAGGACCTTAAGATAGTATTAAATATAAAAGAAATAATTAATATTAGAGCTAAAGTTAATATTTTCTCTAAAAAAATTTCCAGAAATATTAGTAAAGTAATATATAATACTATAAATTATTAAATATTTACTATTATTAGGGCAGAATTTGGATTTATAGGAATAATAAAGCTTAGAACTAAAGTTATAAATAGAATATAAAGATGCGTTTTTCCTAATTAAAAGAGCTTTAAAAATCCTACTTAGTTAATTATTCTTAGTAAAAATAAAGATAAATATTATATATAAAAGTAATAGGTTATAAGATAAGAGATTTACTAATCCTAAAAATAACTAGAATACCTATATAATTATAATTATTTTACTTTTAAAAAATACCGGAAAATAGAAAAAAGTAATAGTTTAAGAGTACTAAGCTTTTAGAATTAAGAAATTAAGTAATATGAAATAGGAAACTAAAGATAAAGAGGAAAAATAGAGCCTAGTATTATAACTAGTAGTAATATTAGAAGAAATAGGAAAACGCCGGGATTTCCTATAAATTCTTTTATTTTGGGTTTAGGAGTTTAGAAAATTAATAATATTTTTAGAGAAACTAAAGTAAAAAGGCTCTAATTAGAGTATTATTAAGACTAGTTCCGGATTTAATAGAAAAAGAAATAAAAGAGATATTAAGTAAAGATATTTCTAAAAAAGAAATAAAGTAATATCTCCTAATAATAAAGAAATATATTCCCGAAGCTAAGAAATATAAAACCTAAAACTAGATAGAATTCTGAAATATATAGAAGCTTAAGAAAAGTATATTAAAATATTAGATAAAAAGATATTCTTTATATCTAATTAGAAAAAAGCTAAGTAAAAAAGTTATAAATTCCGGAAATTAGATAAAAAAAAATATTAAAGAAAATAGCTATAGCTCTTAAAGAAAAAAATAATAACTATAGTTTATTTCTAGTTATAAAAATATATAATATAAAAAATAAGAAGATTTAACTAGTAAATACTAATAATAAAACTAGAAAAGGCCCTAGTAAATATCCGGACTAGTTTAAGAGATCTAAAGCTAGAAAATATCTATAGAAATATACTAGGAAATATAAGAATTACTTTTTATTAAAAATATTAGCTATTTTAAGAAATTTATAACTTATTCTAGAATACCTTAAATAATTAGATATTAGTAA